CTCTTATGTTCTCGGCGGTCAACTCTTCTAACACCCTGCAGGTGATGTACTGTAAGGCCAGGGTCGCAAAGAAATACATGCAGTTGCAATCACGAATTATGGATGGTCAGTGAAGTGAATTGAAGTGAAGTGAGGTGATATCATGGAATTAACGGCAGACAAGGGCCCATCTGCCGGTGCTAAACATGCAGGGAGTCTAATGGAGGGTAGTGATTGCTTGTGACAAAATACAGGTTACAAGGGTCCTCGAATGGACCAGAAGCAAGTTCATGACGAAAGGTCAGTATGCAATGAGACGTGGAATGACACGGTGAAAAGAAAATGACGGCAACATTAACAGTATTAATATCATCATTGATAAGAGACAAATCTCGATAGCGTCCCAGACCCAAGGCCTAAGGCCCCAAGACCTGAGATGAGATATGTTGAATATAAGCCAAGCCAAGTCGAGCCATACATATTCGTAGCACATTAGTCTAATTGATTCTGAGCGCGTGATGTACAGTACAGATAAAGGTTGAAATAACCTTGAACGTTAGTCGTTTCTAGGCATGCAGTCACTTTGACGTCAAGCTGTGCACGGAAAGATGCTCCGGATAGGTAGACATGGAGACAAGACAATATCAAAATGCCCTTGTCATAAGAAGATCGACGGTAGGGTTTCGTTCTAATCATAACCACATGACACTCCCGGAAGCTACGGAATCACATCCAATGCGACGAGTGGCATGACATCTCTTTGGTGTTGAGATTGTATGTATTTGTTACTGATACATTGGACTAGATAGCATCATTAACTGTTATTCAAAGCTACAAGTCTGACGTGTGTAGTTATCACAAATATACAATTGCTTTTTTTCGATATGCCTGTTTTCATGCAAGTCGCCCTGCCACGTCAATATTATTCAAGCAAAAAGGAAATGCTTGGCTTACAAACTCTCCGTGTCATGGGCATCGCCAAGGAAGTCTCTTCACATACCCCAGCAACAGTATTCTGTTCCTGTACTGTATGTATGTACCCGATACTCACCGCGACTCCTTCACGTCATTCCAACGAGTGCAGAGTGCAACTTCTTTTGGTTTCATGACCAATGGGATGTAGTGGAAGTGTACCTGGATTGGGTGAGACGTTTCTGGAGACTTCTCATTGGGAATGGGAATGGATGCTGTTTGCTTGCAGATGAGATGGTGGTGTCTGTGTGGTTTTGTGTATATAATAGTGTCGTCTTCCCCGTTCTCGACTGTTTCTGTATTCTCGTCAAGGAAGATTATTGTGTAGAATCTTGATATCAGAGTATATTTGCTCTTACATACTCACCAACACTACTCGCTATCTATACTGGACATCAGTAATACTCCAACATGCCTGTCCTCTTCGAACGAAACGATTCTCTCAGGGTTAATCCCCAAGGAGGTGATGCTCGTCTCTCCAATGCTGGTTCAAACTGGCTCTGGGCTGTAACTGCCCTCTACCTCGTCAGCTTCGTATGTATACTCTCTACTATTCTCACACACAGCATGTACTAACACTACGATAGCTCGTCTATTTTGCCATGAGCTTCAAGCCTCGCAACAATGAGCGAATCTTCCACTACCTCTTCACCATTGCCCTCTTCGTCGGCACAATCTGCTACTTCTCCATGGCCTCTGGTATCTCATACTCGATTGTTACTACGCAGCTGAACATCGGCCGAGCTGTTTCTTACCAGATCTACTTTGCAAAGTATATCAACTGGGTTGTTTCATTCCCTATTGTTCTGCTTGCTTTGGGTCTCATGAGTGGTGTGAGCTGGGCTACCATTCTGTTCAACATCTTCCTTGCCTGGATCTGGTAAGCCACTCTTCCTCATATCCTTTCAGACGCAGTGACGCTAACGTTGATAGGATCATCTCGTACCTCTGCTCCGCATACACCGTCACCTCCTACAAATGGGGCTTCTACGGCTTCGGCACCTTCGCCTGGCTCATGCTCGCCTACCAAACCCTCCACCCAGGCCGCGCCTCAGCCTCTCGTCTCGGTCTATCACGCGACTACCTCATGTTGGCAGGCTGGTTGAACCTTCTCTGGCTCCTCTACCCGGTCGCCTTTGGTCTTTCTGATGGCGGTAACGAGATCGGTGTTACTCAGATGGCCATCTTCTTCGGCATCTTGGACGTGCTCATGATTCCTGGACTTGCTTTTGCGTTCATGGTCTTGTCCAAGCGCTGGGACTATGGTGCTTTGAACTTACACTTTACTCAGTACGGTCGTGTTCATGCTGGACATGGTGGTGTCTTCCCTGAGAAGAGGGCTCCTGGTGCTGGAACTTCTGCTCCTGGAACTACAGCTCCTGCAGCTACTGCGCCTGCTGTTTAAGGCACGAGTTAACCATGCTTGATTCATTCGGGGATGCTATCTGTTTGCGGATGCCAGGTTGGCTGGTACCAGGACGCTCCTTTGGATAATGGTGGAAGTAATGGTGAAGCTGGCTTGGAGTTGTCTATGCTGGATTTGTGTATTGAGATACCCTCATTGAACGGGAGCTGGATACCCATCAGGTATTAGATATTGCTGTTGGCTTATTCAGTTAATGCCTAATTATTTTTGCATTGATTTTGTTATTATCCAAATCTGTTGATGATGTCTTGCTTTCAGTGACAACACTCAACATTGATTAGGTATACTACATCTGTGCACTTGACAAACATAAATACCAGTGGAAGTATCTCCGCACAGATGATTATTATGCTATGACATCAGGAGTAACAACTGCTTTTATCTTGGTTAAACATTGTAGGTTGCCGTTTCAACTTGAAGTTGAACTTACCCTGTACCTCAAAGCCATCTATGACCGATGTCTCACAAAGAAACTCCTCACACGAGCAACACACATCCTCAAATGCATGTTGTCCTCATCATCAATCCAACTGAGACAATTCTCTCCCTGCACAGCGGAGTCAACGTCACACTCCGAGCTGGTACTTTTCTCGCTTTTCGCGCTTTCGCTACAGTGAACAATCCATCTTCAACACCTGCCTTCTCTAGATAGCGTTGAAAGCCGACAATAAACACCGTTGATACACTAAATTAGCCTTTGTATTGTCCAGGAACCTTGAGTTAAAGCTGAAGAAAGCTTGCGCTGTTACGTCGGTCGACATGCTGTGGCTTGCGCTACAGCAGCGAGGGACGCAGCTTTTGTCTCTGAGACATTGGCTCCGAGGAAAAAGAAACTCGTCATGTCAAGTCCACGTGGGAATGGGAACACTAGAACTGGAAACTAAGACTAGTTAACAGGAACTGAAGGTTGAAGCTGGAAACTGTGACTTCATTAACCAACTAGTGAGTTTCTCTTCGCGAGACGAGCGGAGGGCCGAAGAAGGCACACCGAGTGTTTAAAAACTAAACGTCATTCTAAGAAATCACTTGCCAAGAGGAATTGGTAGCTGATTGCTCACAAGTTACAGAGTTACAGCAAACAATACTGGGAATTGCTTGGAGGAGTAACACTCAAGGCTAGTATCACCTGTCAGTGACGTCTCCCAGCAACTCCCACAGATAGACGCAGCACAAGTACCGTCCTCATCGGCCCATTCTCATGTCTCACTCTCACAGTGTGCAACATGCCATATGCGAGTCCAATGTTTCTCTCCCAACCAGTGGAACCTGAAAGAGAAAAAGGCTTGGTTGTTGAACATCGTCTTGCAGATGGGCAAACATGTAGCGAGCCGTAGTCAAGCAGTCATAAGCATTTCTTTTCGACATGAACACGACAGGAGAGAAGAAAGCAGATAAATGCGTCCCGGAAACAAGCATAGTATACCGACCACGAGGAGTCTTGCATTAGACTGTTTCAGCCCGAATCCTTAAATCGCTAGGGCAGGCCTGGTTTGTTCTGCTCGGAAGAAGCAAGTGCAGTTTGGATGAGCTTTCAATGCGATACGAGACTCTTCTCTCAACACTCATCGAGATTGCCTTGTAACCGAGGGCCAAGAAAGGACGCCAGTGGCTTGAATGGCGTTCTGACACTGACATGTCACCGGTATGTGTAGGAGATAGAGTTGCTTCGCTACTGGACAATTAACGCAGAGAAATTGTCTGGGGGAAGCACGTGGCGTACCGATACAAACCAAGCCAAATCCGAAGCTCAAGCCACTCAATTCATGACATGCATCCTCACAGTACAGAGTATGCGAGGAGTTGCAAAGCTGCGGGCTGAGAGTTGTCAACGGCCGCATAACACAGCCGTTCGAACGTGGGTTGGGTTGACTCCTCTCTTGTCTCCCTTGGAAATCTACTCGATGACAGGCGAGACATCACCCAAGACAGCCCAAGTTTAACGTGACACAGTAGAAGCAAGAGCCGCTTGGTGTCTCTCACAAGAGGGGTAAAAGAAAGCAGTGCTGTACTGTACTGTGAAGCAAGTCTCACAGAATTGGACTGTGGCGTGTAATGGGAAGTCGTAGACGAGCTTGCGTCAGGAGTAAGAAGCAGACGTGAAGACAAGAGTTGGTCTGTGTGCATCCTCTACAGTAGACAGTGCATTTGGCTTGGGCTCTTGAGCCTTGGTCCTGGGTTCGCCTCTTTCAACAAACAAAGAGAGGAGATGGGAAGGGAGAAAAGAGGGAGGGCGAAAATCCGATCGAGAGGTCAGCCCGCATGGCGTCGTGTCGTGCCGCGCCATGCTTGAGACAATCAACCAACCAACATATCGGCAGTGTTTATTGGAATAGCCTACTGCAACAAGATACCGGACTTGCAGCTCAGCCTTGAAGGGATATCCACGCCTACGGTATGTATACCGCAACGGTGGACAGCCTGTTGGTTTCTGCTATGCAATGTGCCATGCTGATAATTCAACGTCTGTTTCGGAACCATGTCAGTCGTAAAGACTATCTCCGATCGACGATAACTAGGGAGATGACCTGATACTTGGTTCAGCCAAAGTTTACGACTGGAATGCGGATCGTAGTATTTCTCTACTGTACAGTTGACATTTCCAGGTACGTGTAAAATGTAAAGGTACCCAACCAAATGCGGTGATCCGTATTTTCGGGTATCCCAACGGTACTGTACAGATACAGAGATATAGTGCTATCGTGTATTCAAAAGAAGAAGGCTGGGAGATCCATTCTCCTGCTGATGCTGTTGTTGGTGGCGTACAGCAGATCAAGCCAAACGTGCATCACAGACTCTCAGTGGCCGACCAGCTGAGACTTTGCGGGCGTTGAGAGTGACGGTACGAGAGGCACAGTAGCAGACAATTCCACTTTCTGTATGATAACCCACAGATTTTCTAGAAATAACAACCTGCAGAAGAGTTGTCAGTAATGATGGACCCCAGGCATTGCTGTACGTATGTATCTATTCGTCCCGCTCGGGCCGCTCCCCGGATCAGATATAAAATGGATAAATTCTCCTAATTAACTTGGTTAAGGACGGGCGAGTCAAAGCCAAAACCCACATTGTAACGTAATTAAACCAAACCCTGAAAAATGGATTTTGGTCTTGTCTGTGCGGCCGATGGAGAAACAGAAAAGCATGATCTGATGTTGTAATGTAGGAAACTGTATCCGTACTCAGGTTATAACCCGAACCAACAAAGACGCACAGACTAGGCTGAGACCTTTGCAGCGTAGCATAGCGTCCTAGCGCTACTGTACAATAACTGTAAAGATGCCCCGTGGCCAAGGAGTCGGTACTGTATCGTATTGTCTCTTCAACTGTACAATAGAATACAGTAGTGTACAGTACAGCAGTTTGACTGTCTTTGATTCAGATCGGGAGACAGAGAAAGGCGATGCTCGGATCTGCGAATACAGTACTGTCAGCGCATAGTGGCTACAGTAACAGTACTGACGTCGTTGCCTTTGCCTCTGCCTGTCGCTCTGCCGTCAGTCGATACGGATATACGACGGACTTTTGCATTGCATGACTTGTGAATCGTCCATCTCGGCAAGGAACATGACTCTGTTGACTGTATCGGAGCCCACCTCCGGGCAAATGTGACCCTGAACGTGGTATTCTGTTAAGCGATCTAGTTAGGCGATCAGAAAGTATGAGTGGATAGACAGATGAGCCGAGCCTTGGCTTCGAACTTCAAGGGCCAGTCGGCTGTTGCAATGTGACTGAAACACTCCTTTGCCAACCGTTCAGCGGTTACAGTGATCTTGTCCCTGTACGGTACAGTACCGCTGGCGAGTAGGCGAGGCAGGGTAAGGCAAGATGGGTGAGGTAGTGGTGGGTAATCTTGAAACAAGGATGGTATTCTCTGTCGTAATTCAGAAGACATGGACCAAGCATTTGGGTCAAGGTTGTACGTGCGACGTAAATGCCGGCCGTGTCGTGTCCACCTAGTTGGGCATACACATCGCACCATGTACCTTTCCCGCTGTCATTCAACGTGTCGAGACTTTAACGGGTGATGGCTCGGATGGCTGGCTTATCCCTGTTGCTCTTCTCTTCCTTCTTTCTTTTTCCCTTTCCTTTTCCTCAGCTTGGCTAGCTTGTTGCATCAGCGCTTGTGCATATGCATTGCACTGCATAGCTGCACAAATGTGGAATAACCCTACCAGTGCAAGGTTATTCGTCCAATGTTGGCATGGATAAAGAAGAGTCTTGTCTCAAGGTATGTATGTTTGGTGCTGAATACGAATATCAGACGGTTGCAAAATACAGTGTAGATACGATCTTTATACAGTACACCCAATACTCTCGACCTGTGTGAGGAAAGAGGACTCGTTCATTAATTCATTCATTCTTAGCCCCGCTCGTTGTTGCGGAAAGGGCCTAGCGTCGTGAGATCCTTGAGGGTTCCCGTGCACCGGGTCCTGCATCCCGCATGTTTAGCTCGGCGCTAACGCATAAGTATGGAGACTTTATTTGCGCTAACTCTGAATGAGACAAGACTCGATTTTAAGTGACTGAGTGCTCGCTGCTCTTCCTCGCTGAAAGATGACATGACGCAGAGAATGGAGACTGGGAAGATGAGGTCAGACGAGACCTGTGGTTTCAATTAAGAGTGAGAGAGATGTCAGATATAATCTTAGATTGTCAGTCAGCCTGATCACCAGAGTCATAGCGATCAAAGTGTATCATCAGCATTGGATGTCAAAATATCGGGCTTGTCGTATAATGAGACATGGCGCACGTTGATACTGAGACTTTTTCACAACTCGGCTCCCGTCTGTGCATAACATCAACGCATCGGTCCGCAGGATCTATGCAGCTGCATTCACTCTCAATACATATCAATATCATATCCTACAGTACAGTGAGAATAAGATTTGCAGCATGGTTTCTTCTTATCACATCGATCAGAAAAAAAGAAAAGAAAGCAGATGCCTCTCGTTACTTCTCTCACGGAATCGTGCGTGCCTCCCCCCCACTGCTGTGTTGTGCTGTTGGTTGAGATGAGAATAGACAGACCCTCCCTTCTACTAGAGCACCAGTCATGTCGAGTCTTGGCGATGCCACTGCAGTCCTCGCTTAGCTGGGAGCTTGGCTGGGAACGTGCCGTCCTCTTTGATGCAATTGTGATAGGCCCAAGACTAAAGTCCCCTGCCCGCTGAGAATGAAGATGTGCTGTTGTCGTCCCGGAGCACTTGGCCTTTTTCGGTACGTATTCCCGTTCCCGAAGACGGGCTGTAACGCTGCAACAGCACTTTTGTCTGATATAACCAACCATCTCAAGAGAGAGAAGGAGAAGAAAAATGCTATAGCCCGAAGTCTGTATACGCAATCTTTGCATCAGTCATCTTCATGCCCCTTCCCTTATGCTTCTGTGCCTGCATCGGCTGTTTTATCTTTTTCTCTCTGCCCCTGCCACAACAATAGAATTTGGATGGGATGGAATGGAACGATGATTTGATCTGGCACAGTACGGTAACGCCGCTGATGGTCTTGTCCCTTCTCAGCTGAGCTGTTGTTACAGTACCAGAATAGAATAGGATTAGCACCATGAAGCCCACGAGACTTGGCGCTTTCTTGAATTGAACTCTAATCAAAAAGTCCCTATTGTATGTTTATGAAATACACTACAATAGTGCCACGAAAATTGACGTTTTGCGATATATACTCAACTTGCAGAAACAACTGTCCTTTTGTTGGCGCTCAAGTTTCAACTTATTCTCGGATGCTGGACCTTCCCGTCCCGTCTCGTCTGAGCTGGGCTGGGCTTCTTTTGTTCCCAAATTCCAGGACGCGATCGAGGAGACTTGGACCAGCCAACAGTAGCTTTCTATTGGCTCGATCTTCCTTGTCCCGTCTCCTTGGCTGTGGACGAACACCCCCCTCCTCAAAACCGAATGGACCCCGAAGCCACTGGCCCATGCCTGGGAATGATGTGAGGTCCTTTTTTAACAGGGCGTTCCAGCGGTTGTCTCTGGGTCTTTTTGGGGGTCCGGGCACCGAGTCAGCTCCATGGCATGGACCTTACCAAAGCCAGGCTCCTGGGCCTGGCAATCTATCTGTTCATCAAAAAAAGACAGCCCTGAATGGGCCAAGACAAGACAAGAGAACCTAGAGATATTCAGCCACTCATCAGCGGATATCTTGATCCCTGCCCTCTCCATCCCTTCCGTCGTTTTGAATGGTTAGGATCATCACCAATGTCGCTCTCTCGCTGTTTTTCAACTGTCCGAAATGCTTGTATGTTAGTAGTTTAGCTTAATTACAGCAAGTACAGTACTGTATGTACTAAGCCCAAGCTCAAGCCTTGCCTCCCGTCCGTCATATTTAGAAACGTCTCCGCCATTTTGTATATGTATGTCTATCTGCCATCAAAACAAATCGACGTCTCTATCCGCTGTGTCTACCACTGGTTGTTGTCCTGGACTTCCACAACATCGCATTAGATCTGCACAGTACCGTCGGGAATTGCTTGCTCTGTATCTATCGACTGGCTGTGTATCTCTATCTCCCCATATCTGTACTGTACTGTACATATCCATCCTGCTGTGCTGTCTCCACTCCCACTATCCAAGTTCGGCAGGGCTTGTCCTGGGCCTGGGTCCTGGGCTGTTTCTTTTGTCCCCTTCCCTGCTAAGAGTTAGCGACATACGCTATTTGTCTCGCCTACGGGCCTTATCCTATTCCTCTTCAACGGCCTCCGCCCCCGGTCTCTCGCTTCCACTCTTTCTCCCCCTTCTCATTCTCCCCTTCTTCTACTCTTATTGCTGCTGCTGCTACTGCTCCCACTTTACACCAAAACCTCCTATGTCGCGTTGAAGACCTCTCTTTCATCTCTTCAACTCGACTCTCCTTGTCTTCAATTACAGTCGTTGCCCTCCGTCTGTTTTTGAGTTGACAAAAGATTATCCTTAACCGATTGGCCGACAATTTCTTAATTAATAACGTCTCATATTGAGGGTGAGTTGCCAAACCTAAACCTTTTGGTATTTCAATTCCTCCTTACCGTTGGTACTCAATAATACCAACGGACTGGGTTTCTGCTTCGCATGCACGACCGTTGCTGACAACGCTTTGCTTCAAAGGCTTCACTTAACTTCATTTCTTAACCGTTTCTTTACGTCGGCGCGCGCTCTTACGCGCCTCATTAATACTCAACATGGCGACTCCTTCCGCAATCCCCACGAACGCTACTCGCGAAACTATCGCCAAGCTTCACCGAGTCACCAGAGGAAACCGCAGCCTCTGGTACATGATGACAGTCCTGCAACAACCAGAGCGAGCTCGAGCCTGTGGTTCTGGTATGAAGGGTAAGTCGATTGATGACAAGCAAGATGCGATGCACGTGGCATCAAGATTCTTGCACTCTTCTTACTGGTACTGACTTTTTCTGTAGCCAACAGCGACCGTCGACCCGTTGATCCTCCGCCAGTTGTCGAGCTCCGAATTATCGAAGGCCCCACTATCGAAGAAGGCAAAGACGTCACATTTGACTACAACGCCAATTTCTTCCTTTATGCCAGTTTGGAGCATGCTCGTCCGCTTGCACATGGCCGCGTCTCGACTCCCGCTGCCAACAACCCGCCTATTCTCACCGGTGTACCCGCCTCTGGCATGGCCTACCTCGATCGCCCAGCTGAAGCCGGCTACTTCATTTTCCCCGATCTTTCCGTTCGCCACGAGGGCTTGTATCGCTTGACCTTCAGCTTGTTCGAGACTACCAAGGAGGAGCAGGACTTCGACATTCAGCCTGCCGATGGCGATCTTCCACCAGGCGTTGACTTCCGCATGGAGATCAAGACTAACCCCTTCATGGTTTTCAGTGCTAAGAAGTTCCCCGGTCTCATGGAGAGCACACAGCTTAGCAAGACGGTTGCCGATCAGGGCTGCCGAGTTCGAATTCGCCGTGATGTTCGTATGAGGAAGCGTGACTCCAAGCCCGCCGGCAACAATAACAACAACAATAATAATAACAACAATAACGCTGGCAACAATGGGTTTGAGCGCCGGGAGGAAGATTTTGGTCGTCGAAGGACTGTCACACCCGCCGCTGAAGTTCCCCACGGAATTCGCAACCGATCCCAGAGCAACTCGAGCGAACACCGAGCTCCCTACGCCGATGCTTCTCGTCGACCCTCGATGGTGGACTCATACCCGCCTCCACCTCCACCCTCTTACGACCCGGCTCCTTCAGCCCAGCGTCACCTTTCTTTCGGCGATCCATCAGCTTCCAAGTATCAGGCACCTCGACAATATGCTCATCAGCCTGGCCTGCAAATAACGCCTGTTTCCGCCAATGGCTCTTACCCTCCCACCGCCCAATCGCCATACACCAAGAACGACGCTACCTATGGCTACGTCAGTCGTCATATTCCACCATCATGCCCTTCGCCTGCTCCGTCCGTCAACCGCGATTTGTATGACCGCAGACAATCCACCAGCACTTACGTTCCTCCGTCCCCATCCGTCTACTCCGCAGAAGGCCACTACCGTCGAGACTCGCAACCATCGTACCCCTCTACACCGTCTGCTGCTCCTCTTCCCCGATTGATGAACACTGAGTCATCGCGTGGGTCCTTGAAGATTTCTGCTCTAGTTGAGCCGATGCCGATTATCGAGCCTCAGGTTGACCCTCTCCCTGAACTCCCTCCTGTGAACGTTGGCGGTAAGCGCAAGCACGAGAACGTGTTCTCCCAGAGCACTAGACCTCTTTACAACGGCCAACGACAAATGGACCCTCACTACAGCCGTACTCATCGCGGCTACAGCCCTGAACATGGCTCTTACTCCCGAGCCGATGGCCGAATCGATGTTATCGAATTCAACAAGTTCTCTTAGAAAAGACGAGAATGTTGGATCTGCTCTTTATCCAATTCAACAAATACGAGTATTAAAACATCAACATTCATACTACTTGACTAGAAAGGCACACCGGCGTTCTAGTGTTGTGTATTCCTATCTACAGGAGGACGGTGGGATGATGGAAGATGCATGAGCGACAATGCTTAGGAGTTCAGGCGCAATTGATGTGAGATCAAGTCATGGAAATGAAGACTTGACTTGGCACCAGACTTGGATTGTCTTGGACATCAAAGATTATTTTGCATCGTCATTTGTATTGGATCACGGAAAAACTTTGGGCTCCTATGATCACAAAATGACAATCACATACTACGATATCATTTTCTTTATTCAGTTTCTGTTGGCCTACTTTCATTTTGAAGAATCTATTCCATTGATGCTTTTATTCATGTTGATTTGATCTTGTCGTGCTTGTATCCGCCTTGTGTTTGTCATTAAAATACTCTTTGTTTGCTAGCAACAGCGGGCTTTGTGCGATGATGCTTGCCAATGAAATGGCCTCGATACAAGTCTTTTGTATGGAACCAAGGACGAAGCCGTGATAGAGATTCTGACACTCAGGTTCTCATGGATGCTGAAACTATCAAGCTTGCTTTGAAGTCGGACAATGGGTTTTGTTATTTAGCTATGGGCGTTATCAACATAAATTCACAATGTTTTGAATCATAAGAAGAGACAACTTAATGAAACTGGAGACTGCAATTTGGGATAAAAAAACAAATACCTGAACCGTCTGAAACCCTCGACCAGATATCCATGTCGAGGATGAGAATAGCTGGATCGACAAAACTTGTGCAAGATCCACTCATAAACATTTTCATCTAGCATTGACCACGATGAGAGATTGAGGTAATCGAGGTTGAGGTTGAGGTTGAGGTAGATGTGTATTGAGTGGGGAGACAGACATCTTGACGGGAATAAGAAGTGAACATTCATTAGTTATTCTAGCTAGATGCTTAAAACTTATGCTAATTAATTCACAGCCAATTCACGACTGGAATCGACGATTGATTGTTCTGTCTAAAACTAAAGGGAATTTAATCTCCGTTTTAGTACTTTTCACTTCGATTTTATTTCCACTTTTGGGAGTTGGCGATTCGAGTATCCCTGCGCTCCTTCCCATTCCAAGGCCAATGCCTCACTAACGCTGCAGGTACGTTGCATCCCCCGCTCCTTCCTCGTTGCCGTGGTGAAATCACGTGGACGATCCAGATTCAATATCAACAAACCACGTCCACGTCCACGTCCATGGTCCTACCGCCGCTATCACTTTTGCAGATGTATTCAAACTGCACCCAACCGTTCTGTTTACTATAATCAGCCACATTTTCCTCCATCCCCCCAAAGCCGTTATGTCGTGTTGACTTTGAGCCCATCATTCAACGCTTCCGTCAACGTAATCGTGCTGCTTTAGGCTCTTACATCACACTCAACTTATACGCAATTATACAATCGCATTCATACATACATATACACATACGTACACAACCAAAACCTTCTATATGGGTCGGCCGAAGCCTCGCCGCGCGTTAAGCGCGAGTCGGTTTCAAGAAGGCTCTATGAACGACAGGACTTCTGCTGCACCGCCGGTTCAATTTCTGGGTCCCGAAGAGCTTGCCGCCCTTGAGCGACCTGCTCTTACACATATCAAATCCAACACCGCTCGGCCGATGAGCGATGACTTCTCTGACAAACAGGTCAAGAAGGGAAGGCTCCTAGGCCAAGTTTGGGATGAAGTTCGAGGCCGATTGGGATTTAGGAGGGACAACGAAGATGACAAAGGGTCCAGGAAGAGGTCGCGGAGTCGCAAGCGTGATCAGGATGACCAGCGCGGGAGAGAGAGGGAAAGAGAAGATGTCCAGATGACGGATATGCCAGATATGAAGACTGCCATCGACCCCCCGAGGGACGACATGCCTAGTCGAGAAGAGATATTGGCTAATTATCACCATCTGATGGCGTCTGGCTTTTTCTCTTCTCACGCTATCCAGTCTACTCGCCAACCACCACCTGGCTCTGTTCAACAAGCAGCCCAGCAATGCGCCGCTCCTCCGGCCAACCTCATGGATGCTCTGTCTCGAGCTCCCACGCCTGGAGGTTCAGTTCCTCCAGTACCTACTCACAAACCACCCACGCCACCTGGAGAGCCCAAGTCGCCTTCAAAGGCCAGGTTCCCTCTCAAACTGCAGTCACCCCCAGGCAACCCGGGCGCTGCCACCTATGACGAGCTAGTTGCATCTGGGTTCTTCACTCCTCCACTATCGGCAGGCACTTCACCACCGCCGACTCCCTTCGGTGCTGCCCCTGCTCCAGCAGTACCTACTGGCATAATGTCGCGAGATTATCTCCAGCCACCTCGGCAGACGAGAGGCTCAAGAACGGGTACTCCTTCGACTTCCTGCGCAGCCTCTCCTATTCAGTCGCCAGCGAGTGTCTCATCTAGGGGAACTAAGCGAGCTGCAGCGGACTCCAATTCGGACGACGAAGCAGAGGGTGGGGCTCGCGATCCCCCAACTCCCAAGAAGAAGCTACGCAAGTCTTCCTCTCGAGACATTGGCTTGCCAAGCTTGCGAAACGTTGCGTCTCGTCGTAGCCTGCTTTCTTCTCGACGTAGTGTATCGGGACCTCATGGATCTGGCGCTGGCAAAGACTATAACAATCTTGCCCGCCGCGTCCTTGGGCGTCTACCTAGGGCTGGCGGTCGGAGCTCTTTCGACTCTGAACGTGGGCCAGCTTCACGACCTGGTTCTGCTGCTAGAAACAGCACTGATGAGTCCAGATCCCCGTTGCAAGAGGTTCAATACTCCCGAGTCCTGCGTTCGCGCAAGATCTCTGTAGAAGAGCCTCACGGTGTACCGGGTGTTCACAGGGGCATCCCCATGGTGCCCGATATTCCCGAGAAGTTTGCTTTGCACAACAACGCCGAGAACATGGCCCCGGCCTTGCGTTCTCGCTATTAGTTAACGACGACGGACAAGCTTTTGCTCTTTCAGCATTGATGATTGACATTTAACAGAACGCAGGATACCTACGACAGCAC